TCAGAATAGACTGAGGGGAAGGGAAAGAAGAGTACAGCTCCTGAAATAAACCATTCATCTTCTTGCTCAAACGATTTGGACTTCCACTTGGTGTTGGCTTTGTTCCCCTGCCCTTTCTGACTTACCTTCCCTCTGCTAGTCCCTTTGCTCTAGACATTTCTTTGCTTAGCTCCACTAGAATATAAACTTCAGGAAAGTAGGGATGTTGTTTACTTGGCACCACTGTATTCCTGAGCACCTAGAACAGTGCTTGGCACACAGGAGGCATTCAATAAATATTCGTTTTGTCACTGACCTTAGCTGTGTTAGGGAGATAGACATGTCCATGTCCATTTCCAGGGGCTCACATGGAAACATTGGGACATACAGAGTAAATCCTAGAACCTAGAGCTTCAGCCAACGCAGAAAGTCAGTGTAAATCACAACAAAGTGATAGCAATGACCTAAAGATATGAAATAGGATTTCCAGGAATTTCCTGCAAAAGTGTATGTGCCTTGCAAGAGGACCTGTGTTGGTTTGCTTAGAGTAATAATGCCCGTCCTGGCCAGCAGATTTTTGGCCAATTTGCTTATGGTTCTTAAGCTACTTATTATTAGCCCAGAAGTCGTAACAATGAAAGGGAAGGAGTTTTGGAGACTGTATATCCTGACACTTCTTCTTTGCAAGTGAAAAAACTTGGACCTTAGAAGTTAAGACTCTTGCCTTAGATTACTCTTTTATTTACAGAATAGAGGCAAGAACCCAGGTATCCTTACTCCTGGCTATTTCTTTTTATTTCATGGCACACTGCCAGTGTCAAAATGTATTTTTAAACAGTTTAGCAGTGCAATGCTGAGCTACAGTTCTTGTACTGGTTCTAAGCTCTGAAAGAAAATCTTATATGCTGTTTATGAAAACTGGAACTTCAATTTAGCACATAAATTTTAAAAACCATTGTTTTTTAAAGGGGAATTTCAAACGGTCTTAATTTTTGGGGGATATATGTCTGTGCTCTAGTCAAATGACAGAAAAATACATTTTAAAATTTGTTTTCTGTACAAAACTCTGATCATTGTAAATTATGAGATCACTCCCAAGTTAAATAAGTAATTTGTTAATAAATCTAATACATTGTGGTTTAGAGTGCTTTTCTCTGATGATATTTGCCTCATTTTTCTTTATCATGTATTATTTTAGCCTTATTTACCACAAGCTCATAGAGTATCCTCTCCAAGTCACCTCTCACAATGCAAACAGATGTTTTGCAATAATTTCCGAGTGGGAATATATCTTCATCTCCTCAGTTCCTTAGTGTTGCTTATGTTGCAAAAGAAGAATGGAGTTTAATTCATTCTGGGCCAGAAAGTATGGTAGAATGGTCTTATGAGCTGGCTTCCAAGGAAATCCCACTTAGGGCTGACTGGAGGCAGCTACAAGAACATGGGTAGAAAGTGTGTTTTAATGCTCAGGGACTCCATTAAATTTCATTCTATGATCTGACAAAAGGTAAAGGGAATTCCTTTTTTGAATTAGATCTTGACCCCCTAAGAGTGAGTCTGAACAAGGTGCTCCCATACTGCCTGCCCATTCCTCCCCTTCTTGTACACGTGCACAACATTCTGAATGCTCAGCATAAGTTGTTTCAGTACATAAACTTCAGAAATGGCCCTGACAGTGGTATTAAGAAACTTACAGTCATCGGGGGAGGAGAAGTGGATACAGTCTCCTAGATCATCTGTCATACTCATTGTGTCAGACTGGAGGTAGATATGTAGGCTTCTGGGTCCTTTAAAGTGACAACATTAACAGGAAGATGTCTCTTTCCAACAAACACTGAGGCGGAGGAAGCTTGGCGTAGTGTACCAGGTACCGAGCTGGGAGTGAGAAGAGCTGGGTTTAAGATCCAATTGGCCATCTGTGTGGTCTTGCTCAACTAAACTTCTCTGAGCCTAAGTTTCCTGATCAACACTGTGAAGGTAAAAACAGACACCTTACCTCTAAGAGAATGAGGCTCACAGGCAGTAATCTTAGGGCATTTTGGAAAACTCTTTAGTTAAACACAAATGTCAAGTGCTATTAACTGAATAAATATCCTGAATTATTGCTTCAGTAATTATCTGTGGATGTGATAACACCCAGAGACTCAGAAAGCATGCCCTTGTTTATTTCATATCATTTCATGACTGGGCTCTCAGTCAAGCTCTGTTTCAAACTGATATTATTTATTCATTCAGTATTGATTTACTGAGCCCCTGCTATCTACTAGCCACTATGTTAAGTGCTGAAGCTCTAAAGGTGAACAGGACACACACATCCCTGGTTCTCCTAGAGCTAATAATCTAGTAACCACCTATTAATGAGTCCAACTTTTATTCCTTGGTATAACCTAGAATAATAAAGTATTCTTCCTCTAAACATCAGTCATTCAGTTAACATGTGACTTCATAAACATCTTTAATCCAAACAAAATATCCTGTTCCTTCAACAGTTACTACTAGGTCAAGGATTTTAGAACTGTCTACAGTCTTCATCTCTTTCTTTTGGATGCCCTCCATTTTTTCAGTCTTTCTTCTAAGCAGTGGCATCTGGAATTAGACACCCCTGCTCCCAATATGATCTTGGGGACCATGGCCTCAGGTGATTAGAAGTTTGAATGGTATAACTGCAATTTGAATTTATGCGTCTGCTTTGGTTTTTCATGGCTATGTTGGTTTGTGTTCATTATATGGATCACTAAAACCAGAGGATCTTCCTATGGATTATGGTTAAGTCAACTTTCCTCCTCATCAAATACTGTACTCAACTATTTGATGTTTTGCATCTAAATGGTTAGCTTTAATGCATTCCCATTAAATTTCATCCTTTGAAATCTTCCTTATCTTGATTTTGTCATTGCTAAGGTTAACTTTCTTTCCCAATCTTGAATTATGAATAAATTTGATAATCACATCTTCCACGTTGCTGACAAAACACAGTAACAGTATCCAGGCAAATTAGTCCCAATCTGCTAACTTTACACATTCAACTCCTTTCACACATTCATTCCACAAATTTTAATGAATATCTTATTCTGGGCTAGATTCTGAGATGAAAAATGAAACCATCTGTGTTTGTAAGTTAGGAAAGATAGACATGTTAACAGATAAATGCAGCATGACAGGTGCCTTACTGCCAGCATGCACTAGTGTAAAGACCACAGAAGAGACTGCTACCAATTCAGCCTATAAGAAGCGGGTAGAACTTCAAATGGCATCCAACTCAGATATGATGAGGGCCTTAATCAAACATTTTGCTGAAACTACTATGAACTGATCCAATAGATGAGGTGTTTCTCCAATGTCCCAATCTTAGAATCATATCCAAATCAGAATGGAAGTCATTCGCCATGATTTGGTCTTTGGGATCCTGTTTTGGATCCTACTGGTCACTTGCCTTTGTACCTCAGAGAAATGAATTAACACTCTTTCATCCCCTTCAGATTTTTTTGAAGTTACGCAGTCAGCATAAATGGTTCTGACCATTTGCTCTGATGAGACCTACATTGTAAAGGGCCTCTCAGTTACTTGTTTAACAGCTAATTTTGCCTGAAACCACGTTTCTGGTCCCTAGATATTTAGTAGGTCATACTTACATATCAACACGTCTCCAGAATAGCTTCTTCCACTTCTTTTTCTCTCCTTATCCTTTAGTGGGAGCCTCATCAGTATCTAAACAGAGATCCAGAAAACTCTGCAGCCTGTGAAGGGACAAGTGTAGATTCCATACCTCAGTTAGTCTTTGTCACATAGCACAGGGCTGTTTATTATACACTTTCCCCTGAATCTGTGAGCTTTGGGGTTTCCTTGTAGAATCCAACATTTTTCTCATGCAGTATTTACATATGACTGCTAGCATTTTGGAAGTTTCTTTTCCAATTTTTAATTTATAATAGTTGTCATTACACTTTATTTTAGGATCTACTAAGTACAAAACCATGTGTTTAGTTATTGGGAGGGCAGAGGTAGACACCATGGTGAATGAGAACTTGTCCTGGCCAGGCAAGGAACTGATGACCCAATGGGGGAGGTAAACCTGCATGTGTATAATTCAAGGCAGTGGCTCTTACAGTTTCTTTCTGATGGGCAAGCATTTTACAAAGACTTGAGCTATGTGTGTACAAGGCTAAAACAGCCATTTAAAATAGCTTTGAAAAAGTAATTGCACTGGGACACAAGGGAAGAGCATAAAATTTGTTTTCATCACTGCCCATATAACAAAAAAAAACCCTATTTTTTGTGTTTTAGCTGTGTTTGTGGTAAAATCTCACAGTCCAAGAGATTTACAACTTCAGATGAATTCCATGCATTTGCATTTAAGTCTGCAAAAGACTTCCAACTTTCCAGCAATTGAACTATAGGGTTGGTTACTTTTCTGAAGCAAATCAGATAAATAATTTCTTTTTTTGGTAGCATTTATTTAGTTTCAAGAAAATCATTTCAGAACATTGGTGTTTACTGTCAGAAGAACTATTTTTATGAATAAAAAGTATAAAACTAAGAAGTCAATGTTGTTTCCTTTTTCAAACTAACTCATCAAAAGATAAGAACTTTTCCTTTTTCTTGACAAAATTTAGTTTCTATTTTAGAATTGTGAATATATCTTAAGGAGAAAAATCAGTTCCCATGACACAAGTTATTTAGCCACTTCACAAACTAGAGTACAGTTTACTGTTTTTTCTCTCTCTCTTTTCTCCCATTGGATTGAGAAAGCCTCATTCTGCATGAGCACTTCCTTATATCTTTCTTGCAAAGATATCCCTTTTGGAGGGAAAAAAAAGCTTTAATTTTATTGCCTCATAAATGTTTCTTTTTTCTGGAGCAGAGAGAATACCTTCAGTACTGAGAGCAACTGAAGGGGTTAATGTTGGACTTGGCTGAGTGTCAGTTAAGCTTTTTTTCTGACTCTCCTCTGGGTTTCCCCTCGAAGGGATTTCCCTCCGCCTCTGCGCCTCTGCAACAAGACCCTTTATAAAGAGCAGACTTTCTATTTCACTCCTCACTGAGCCTGCTCGGCATTAGGAGCAAAAAGTCTCTTCCCAGGCACTTTCAGGTGGGACAGTAAGAAGGGTTTGGGCACCACTATTTTCTCATCACAGCAGCAACTTACAATGTGTAGGAAGATGGTTGTGATCTTTGGAGCTTCAAATATACTTTGGATGGTGTTCGTAGCTTGTAAGTTCTTAAACTTGATTTTGTTCCAAATGCTCGCATTCCATTTTAGCCCTGATTTTGGCTTTCTATGGTAGTGAAGAAAGCACTTGGATTTTTAAACAGTGGGAAAACTTAGTTTAACCTAACTTTAAATGTGCTATTGAGTTCTGCTATGTATCATTATATTGTCAAAACTGGAGGTGTAAATTGATGTTTTTGGTTTTTTCCAACGCCAAGTGAGTAATTGAATTCTTTCTCTAGTAAGGTCTATCTCTTTAGTTTCTTGTACTTGATAATGAGATCAAACTTCGCAAATAACAAAAACTCTGATAAATGAGTGTCAAGAATGGAAATGAGAATTCTCCTAAGTGAAGGTGATTCCAGCACCTTCTTTGGCAGTGATGCCTTTGGTTTTTGGCTGCCTTGCTGTTAGTTAGAAGCATTTTTGGAGGGAGATCAGCCAGATTGAGTTTTGGAGGTTATACCAGAACAGAGAGGTGGGAGTAGAACACTAAACAAAGTCTGCTTTCCTTTTTTTGTCTTCACAGCTCAAGCTTTTAAAATAGAGATCTTCCCTGAGTCCAAAATTGTTGCTCAGATAGGGGACTCGGTCTCGCTGACATGCAGCACGACAGGCTGCGAGCCCCCATCTTTCTCTTGGAGAACCCAGATAGACAGTCCACTGAATGGGAAGGTGAGAAATGAGGGAGCCAATTCCACGCTGATCATGGATCCCATTAGTTTTGAGAATGAACACTCTTACCTGTGTACAGCGACTTGTGGATCTAGGAAACTGGAAAAAGGAAACCAGGTGGAGATTTACTGTGAGTACTTAAGACAATCTGTGATTTTCTTTAAGTTTTGCCTTAAAATAAGGTTTTTTAAAATGGATTCTTTAAAAGAAAATATTTTATAAGGATATTCATGTCCAGATTCTTGGCTAGAGGACACACTGCTCCAAGAAAATTAAGAAACAGCTGAGTCTAACACTAGGAACTTAATCTTGGCTTCTGTTTCCAACTCTGCCACAAACATGGTGATTATGGATAAGACTCGGCCTCTCTGGGCTTTGGTTTTCTTAGCCATAAAATGAAGATCTTTTTATTTTATTTTCAAAAATTTCTATGTGATGTATATCCTTATGTGCTTACTTGGCCATGTGTCCAAATGATTTATGAATTCCATTCTTCAGGGCTTTCCCATTTATTTATTCTTATGCAATTTGGTGTTTAAAACCAGTTTAAGTAGATTTATAATTTGGAAACAGGTTTCTGTACAAAAGTTTTCCCTGTAGGCATAAATGAAATATCTGTGAACATTTCACTCACTTGACTGTGGTATAGATAAATTTAGGAGGTTTTCTTTGGTGATGGTGCCATTAGGACAATACTCAACCACTCAACCTCAAGGATTTTTATATAATGGATTAGATTTGCCTCATGAATGTGAATGAATACCCCTAGTTCATCCTTCTACCAAAATGCATTCCAATTCATTCTCAATCCAGCAAATAAAGTTAGCAAGAGGATTAAAAATCTAACTGAAATAAATCACTTGCCTTTGGTTCCTGATGACTGCTCCTTCAAAAAAACTAGACCTCATGTGATTATCTTATAATTATGTTGATTCCCTTCTGCTGTAGTGGAGCTCAACTTTGCCTCATTACTTTGAGACTTCAACAAGCCCCATGTGTTGCTAATGCTGCCCAAAAAACATTGTGCCCAGCCATCTGTTTTCAATTATGCTGGTTGTACATGCATAGTTTAAGTCTGTGCAGCCTCCTGAGCTCCTTGAAAAGCCCCCTTATGTAAATACAGGGAAAAGTAGCAAGTTCTTATATTACTTGACAGCAAACTGTGTGGATTGTAGGCATATTTCTTACAGACTCAGAGGGCAGAAATCATTGGTGGAAAAATGAAATGTACTGTGTTGTTTCACATAGCAGAGCATTTCCAGTTCCTTTGCCTTTTCTCACAAGTACCAAATACTTGAAGATTTAAAAAAGAAAAATGAAGACCCTTCTGGCTTTAATTATCTAGCCTGAGGTTTTTCTTCAAGGATGTCTGTCCTTCATTATTTTTAAAAGTCCTGTGTAGACTCCATATTCGATTGTAATATTCTTTAGAGTTGAGACCTTGGTGTTCTAACTACACAGAGTCTTGAGTCCAGCCAGTGTGTTACCATCATGACAGCTGGTGAACAGGTAGGCCTCGCAGAGGGAGCAATGGCCGACTGAATTAGTGCATTCCCTTGGCATTAGGAGGCGCCAGTGGAGTAGTGGTTAGGGTGCTGAGTTAGGCATCATAGGAGAAAAACTTGCCTCCCAGAATTTAAAGATTGCACAGCCATATCTTTCTGGTGGGTGAATTCCTGTCAGAGGCACCATTTTCAGAAACCAATATTTTACATTGTTGCTTTCATATCTTAGCATATCTTTCCCAATAACTATTCTTTGCAATGACATTCTGAGCCTCAGTTTCCTTATCTGTTAAGTGGAAATATATCTGACTAAAATAAGAGAATGTGATATAACATAACGTAAATCTGCAGTGGCAATACAGAATAACAGAAATCCTGGGTTTAAATCATAGACTTACCCTTTACTGGCTATATGACCTTAGGCAAATTACTCAAACACACTAATCTGTTTTCACATCTGTGAAATGTGGTCTCTACCTCTTAGAGTTATTGTGAGGATAAAAATAAAGTCATTGATGTTGATGGGCACATAAAAGTATTCAATAAACTTTTATTTCTTTTGCTTTCTTTTACTCCAATAACATGCAATCCTTGTACATGTAGGATCAGAGCTGAAGAGCTCTGAAATGTGGTTGATTCCAATTCATGAACTTGCTCAGAACCATGAAAGGCTATTTATACAATGAATGAAAATTGTATTAACAAAAAAATTAAACATTTTGCATTGTGTTAAAGCAGTAAGGGACCTTACATAATCTGAGCAAAAAGCCCACTCATATGTATTTGTTTGACTTTACAGCTTTCCCTAAGGACCCAGAGATCCATTTGACTGGCCCTCTGGAGGTTGGGAAGCCAGTTACAGTCAAGTGCTCGGTTCCTGATGTTTACCCATTTGATAGGCTAGAGATGAATCTGCTGAAGGATGACCACCTCATGAAGAATCAGGAATTTCTGGAGCCTATGGAAAGAAAGTCCTTGGAAACCAAGAGTTTGGAAGTAACCTTTACTCCTACAAGTGAGGATATTGGAAAAGCTCTTGTTTGCCGGGCTAAATTACACATTGATGAAATTGATCTTAAGCGTAAAGAAAGAGAAACTACAAAAAAACTGCATGTCTACAGTAAGTATTTGTGGGATGTAATCTAGTCTTTATGGGAAGAAAGTTAGCAGCTGAAGTCAAGAAGAAACTTGTTTGTAGTTTTTATTCCATTTTTATTTCTTGAGTATGCATTAATCAACAGTACAATTCCGTGAAAAGAACACTGGATTGGGGCTGAGAAGACTTCAGTTTAAGTTCTGCCTTCATTCACTGTGTGAACTTGGGCCACTTAATTTCTCTATTTCCTGACCTAACCAAGGGGAATGATAATACCACCAGACTGGGTAGGAGGAAATAAGCTCAAATGATAAAATGTTTTTAATCATATTTTTTAAACTCTTATAAAATAAAATATGCCTTGAAATATCAAAGTATAGAGATTTTATAAGCCGAGCACTGCTTCTTTGTGTGGTGCACATATGCATGTGCTCACATGTACACATGCGCATTGGGTGGGAGGATGGAGGTGGGGTTTGATCACTTCCACAATCCCTAACATTGCCAGGGAATTTGAGGCAGTCTTGTAGTCCTAGAATCATGTAGATGTGAACTCACTGTGCTCTGTTCTAGACTGAAATGCTGTGTCGTGCTCTGGACACCACATTTGCAGAGTATTGCCAACTATAGCATGTGTAGCCAAAAGAGAAGGAGATGGAAAGGCTTTTATCAATATTTTGAAAAGAATAGTCTAGATACAGGATATTGTTCCTAGAGAATACAAAACTTGGAAAAGAGAGCTATGATTAAGTATTTGAAATACAGTCATGTGGAAGAGGGATTTGATTTGTTCTGTAACAGCAGAGGACTGAACTATGTCCAATGTGCAAAAGTTAGTTACAAAGAGGAAAATATCAGCTCAATAGGAGAGAAAAATTCTAATAATTAGAGCTGTCCCAAAATCAAATAGACTGTTTTATAAGGCAATAGATGGCCTTACACACCAGAAATATTGAAGCCAGTTTAGGTGAGCACTTGTTAAGGATGCTGAGAGGGTACTCCTACCTTACCTGGGAGATTGAGGCACATCACTCCAAAGGTCTTTCTTGAGTATCCATGGTCATCTGAAAACACTAAACATCAAAAAAAAAAAAGTAAACCAAATTAGTCAGAAACTGGATAGACTAATTTTTACAACTGCAATTCTTTATACCAGTTTGGCAGAGTAAGTTTGTCAAATTTGTGAAAATACATGAAAACAGCCCATGCAACAAGTACATTATCTCTGTTGTATCAAGATGAAGCTTAACAGTTACTAATACTGTGCCTGTCTTTTCAGTCTCACCCAAGAACACAGTTATCTCTGTGAATCCCTCCACAAGGCTGCAGGAAGGTGGCTCTGTGACAATGACATGTGTCAGTGAAGGTCTACCAGCTCCACAGATTCTCTGGAGCAAGAAACTGGATAATGGGAGTCCACAGTTCCTTTCTGAGAATGCAACTCTTACTTTAATTGCTATGAGGATGGAAGATTCTGGAATTTATGTGTGTGAAGGAGTTAATCTGGTTGGGAGAAACAGAAAAGAGGTGGAATTGATTGTTCAAGGTGAGTAGAATGTGAAAAAGGAAGGATAAAGGGGCTGGCTTCAGGATCTGAACAATAGTGAAACTGCTTCAATGCCAAAACTGCTTCCTTAAGTTTGACTGATGACCCATCTGACTGTTATTTACTTTAGCACAATCTTACATTCACTTTACTCATACTTCTTAAAAGTCTTTCTTCCAGAGCTTCCCTGGCTCTGATTTGTTATTCTTTTCCATCTCTCACCATTCCTTCCCTGCCTTATTCCTTGGCTTTCTCTCTTCCTTCTGCCCCAAATATTGGTATTCTTCGTTTACCATTCTGGTCCTCGTTTCTTCCACTCTAGAATCCCAAAACTTGGATTACTGAATGCTACTTACTGCCCAATTCATGTTCTCATTCAAAGTCACCAAATCCTGTCAGTTCTACCTCAAAATGATCCCTAGAATCTAATTATTTTTTCAACCCTCTTGCCATTACCTTAGTTGATCATCTCTTACTTGGACTCTTCAAAGATGTTCTTAAATAACTACAGTCATTGAACACCAGCTATATTCCAAGCACTTTATATATGTTAGCTATAATCATCAAGAAATAATGAAAGAGTATTTTATATCCACTTCCAGATGAGAAAATGTTGTCTCAGAGATTAATAATGATTCCTATTGATTGTATGCCTAATATTTGTCAGGTATTCTACTTGCAACTTTATATATGTTATCTCATTAGTCTTTATCACAACCTTATGAGCTGAATAAAAACTCAGGTTCAGCATAGTTCATAATTTCCCTAGAGTCAAATAGCTCATTAGTGACACTTGCTACGATTTTAGCACAGGCCTATTTCAATCCAAAATTCCATGGCTTTTCAACTATAACTAATTATCTTTAAATGGTCATCCTGCTATCATTCTGTTTCAAAAATAATCCTGTGCACAGTTTAAGTGCTAACTATGAACTTAAACAAAAAACCTGCTTATTTTTTATGACTGCAACCAAATTATATGTAAATTAAAATACATTTTTCTTAAAATAGTTGCATAAAACTCTTCACAATCTGGTCAGGACTACCTTTGCAACTTCACTGGTGACTCTGTATCTCTGTTCATGCAGTTCCTTCTGCCTGGAATGTTCTCCCATCACCTGGCAAAATCTTAGCCATCTTTCAAGACGAAGTTCATGTCAGCCTCCCAGTTCCAGATTGTGTTTGGCAAAGCTGGTCATTCCTCCCTTAATATACACTCAACACTTCTTGCAGACATTTATGCACTTTAGTTCAACACATATTAAGAACCCTTGTCTAAGAATCCAAGAATTGTGCTTAATGCTGTGAGTACAGACATGAAAAAGTTATGGCAACTGCCCTACCTGGAGAAGCTTACAATCCAGGGAGGAAGGACAAGCATATAAGTAGATGTACATATTTAGTAAGAGCCAAACTAACATATCTACTTATATGTGTCTTTCCATTAAACTGTAAGCTTGTTAAGGTCAGGAACTGAGTGTATATGTGCATGTGTTTTCTGATATTTGGGTGCCTGTCACACAGCAGGTGCTCAGTAAGTGTTGAATGAGTAAATTGTAAATATGGGTAACACAAAAGTTTTAGAACATGAAAACATGGGGCTTAAACTTGGGATGATTAAAAAAATAAAATTCAAACTCACCATCAGATTAATTCAATTGGTATTAGATTAGCATTAGCAGGAGAGCAGGAAGGCTTATTTTATTTATATTAATCAAAGCATGTGAAGCTAATCATCCACCCTGAAATAACTCTGCCCCATAATAAGCTGAAAAGGAAAAGGAAATGCATTTGAGGGTTTAGTGAGGGTTGTTTTGCATTTTGCATCACAAAATACTAGCAACCTTAAATGATGAAGAGAGAATTGAACTGGTGAAGGACCTTTCAGCTACCTAGAGTGTACTCCTG